GCCGTACTAGGCATGCGGTCGCACTTGACCGCCGATCACGACCCTGGGCAGTGTCGTAGACGCACTGCGATATTTCGATAAACAATATACTATTAGGCCGTATATGGAGACCGCGGTAGTGCGAATATTAGCCCATTTCGTCCTCATATGGTGTTGTTTTCGTGCGTCCGCACTGCTAAGTTACATCATTAAGTCTCAAGAACTAAATGTTAGATTCTGAGTAGAGACTTAGCATGAGGATACAGTATGTCAAAATTAATTACGTTTGACACAGTCGTACATTGTTTCTGTTCCTCCTTAATCAACTGTACTGTCACTATAATCAGATTACAAAAATTAACATTCATTTATAAGATGGCTGTGTGTATATTAGTGTTGGCTTAGTGGCTTCAGCATGAGACTCTCATCCCGGAGGTCGTAGGTTTCTGTGTACGTGCGAATTTAATATTTGCTTGAACGGTGAAGGAAAACATCGTGTGGAAACCGACTTGCCATAGACCCAGAAGTCGATGGCGTCTTAGGCATATGAAGCTGATCCCCTACTTGCCTATTAGAAATGATCATGGATCTGAGGCCCAGACCTAACAAGGTGTAGCACCACTAGTTTTTTTTATATTTAAGAAGATGGAAAATTACCGGTTTGTTTTTGCTTTAAGGGGCGCCCCTTTCTGTCCACAAAAGTGAGACAGTTATAGTTTCACCGGAAATGTTTCTCCAGGCATACTATATGCGTTAACCACTAAGCCATTCTGACGGTTAAGAAAACAGCAGGGGAATGAAACAGCCTACTACAATTTAATTAATTGTTAATTTAAAAGTAATTTTGAGTTTAACAACCAAAAAATAACAAAATGCGAATTGTATAGAAAACTATTTGTTTCCTAGCAATTACTAATCGTATTTTGTTTATAGAATCCTAACGAAAAAAGATTTAAACAACGTCTTTTTAATTGGCTAATAAATATTTTGATTAAAGAACGAATCTTTGAGAAGGGAGGCTCATTTGTGCTTGCAGCTGCTCTGATTGCCTCCCTTGGGTCCGTAAGAAGCTTTAGAACCGCAAATTGCTTGAAAACAATTGGATGCTTTGTATTATAGACTTAATATACATAAATAATAGTATAAAAGGCAGTATTTTAGCAAACACAAGCCTTTAAAAGCGCTGATACATTTGATCATGTAATCGCTAAATGGAAGGTCGTAGATAGTTTTTGTAAGACAAAATTTTAAATAGTAAGTATAGTATAGATGCTGGATACATGGAGAATATATCACTCCTCTGAAAATTATGGCGGTAATGGCTAATACTGCGTTAAGAAAATGTGGTTATGAAACATTAATTAACTAACTTAAACACGAGTCATTATTGGCTCTAGATTACCATTTTTTTTAGAAGGCTAGTCGCCTTTTTACAATTTTAATAAATTTGAAAATTTATTTTTTCGACTTTCGGCGGAAACACAAAATGCCAATTCGTTATTGTATAATTGTCATAATTTCGTTTTATCCTGCAAAGTAGTTACCCGAAATATTACGAAGCTTCAGATCGCAACTGGATTTCTACAATACAATAAGACATACAACATAATGCAACAAGTGCGTAGGGTAGGCAAGTCGAGGGGCCCCCACTCGACTATGAATATAGAATATGAATTGAAATATATATATTAGGAAATATCTTATCAAAATATGCGTATAAAACAAGGTCCCGCACCTTACGGGGATATTAAAAAATTTACAAAAATTCACCTGCAAAGTGAAATTTTAAGAAAAATAATAAAAGCAATCGTCATCATCAAAATGATGAAGGGGAGAAATTACAAAAGAATTTTTTTTTATAGAACAGGGGGCAAACGGGCAGGAGGCTCACCTGATGTTAAGTGATACCATGGACACTCTTAATGCCAGAGGGCTCGCGATTGCGTTGCCGGCCTTTTAAGAATTGGTAAGCTCTTTCCTTGAAGGACCCTAAGTGGAATTGGTTCGGTAACATCAGTGGGCACCTGGTTCCACAAAGTGGTGGTGCGTGGCAACAACTGCCTTGAAAAATGTGTTGCAATTTAAAACAAATCAATGGAAAAATTTTGCTTAACGTACTTAGTGCACTTTTACGATACACCAACGTCGTATTTAGTGATAGTGAGAAATAACATTAAATTACCATAAAACGTCTAGTACGTAGGTCACGAATCACGATGTTTTTATTACTTCGAATGATACTTCAAGCGGCTGACAGCTACCTTAAAATTTTCTTATCGAATTTTCCGATAAAAAGTAATTAGCGACAATTCGGAAATTATGTAACGTAACCTAGAGGAAAGATGGATCGTGGTCGCCGTGATAACGCGAGATGAGTGATAGCGTGGCCTTACTGTTATCAAGTGGTAGGAATCTTCGATAGTGCACGTCTCTGTGCTACCATTCGTACAGAAGCCTTCTCAGGCAACACGCGAACAACGGCCGCTGCTCGCGCGCATTGTTGCACAACAGGATATCATGCGAAAATAGACCGTAGTGATTTAATCTGGACAATAGTGAAGTGATTTTATTACAATGGGTGAGTGGAGTGATTAATTATTAATATTATATTTGTGTGTATGCGCAACATATAATGTGAAACTATACGGTTGCCAATCAATGTGACAGTCTTTGCGCTTGAAGATCCAAGATCATTCATTGTTGTATAGAATATTGACTTTTGGTTAGAATTCGTTTAACGATCTATTGTTTTACGTATGACAGTTAGTGACAATGAGTAAAGATTTTAGCGAATTAACTTTTAAAATAAGTTTAGTTTTTTTTTTAAATTTTGATTTGAAGGAAATTTTGATTTACATGCAATATGCATGTAAATGTATTTATTTACACTTCGTTGCAATACAATATAAAAATTTAACATAATTAAATGTAAAGGGGGTAACTGGCGGCCTTATCGCTTTCGAGCAATCTCTTCCAGGCAACCACTGTGAGAATTTTTTTTTATTAAATTAGATAAGGTAGGCAAGAAGTGCAAAAATACATATTACATATAGTTATTAAAAAAAAAAAAACAGGAACTAAAATCAAACTAAACTAATAAAGGATACATGTACTTAATTAAATAATAAATATTGACAATAGATTTAGCAGTTTCTATCTAATATATAAAATTCTCGTGTCACAATGTTCGTTCACATACTCCTCCGAAGCGGCTCGACCGATTCTTATGAATTTTTTTATGCATATTCAGTAAGTCTGAGAATCTGCTACTATCTATCTTTCAAACCCCTAAGTAAAATCACATTAAGGAGAAACGAAGTTCGCGGGGGCAGCTAGTAATTATATATATAGAACAAACGAATACGATATATTTTCGAGTTACTTGAAATATTAGTCGAAAAATATTATTACTATCAAAATGAGCAATAAAACTAACTAATTATATCAATAAATTAATTATAACGCATTAAGTCTTTAGATATTAAAAGGACCTTTTGCGTATCGCGTCGAACGATCAAATTTGAAAAAAAAAACAATTTGGTAGTGGCAGTGGTAGGTAATCATATTGGCGCGTATATTGCTCTGAAATCTTGTGAATAATTTTCTGGCGATTTATTACTGTACGCGATTTACAAAAATTTTAAGTAATGCAATACATAATATATACTATTTACACAGGGCGTTGCGTAATTAATAAATAAAATGAAGATAGATGTAGTGGCGGTTAAAAATATGTGGCTTATATTTAGTAAAAGTTAATCGGTTTTCGAAATATTCGACATTTTTGAAAATTCTATAATGTTTTCCGTTTTATTTTTTTAGTGTTATGAGAATTAAAAAATCCTTTAAAAATAGAACCGATACTAATCTGCCCAAAAACGTAATACTTTGTTTTCTTATTTCTATAGAATGATCTTCTATTATTTTTCTCTTAAATAATCGTGATTATTTTTTTTTTAAATAAACGGAGTATGAAGAACATAATGAAGCAATGTTTTTTGTTGACGGTGCCAAAATCAATGAGTATGTAATGTAATAACTGATATGATTGAATTGATTGACCATTCGGTCCTTGTACTTGGATATTCTTAGGAAATCGATAAAAAATACTTGACTATTATGGACTCGGCATGGAATTTTACTTTGACAGAAAATATTTTAACAAAGATTTTAATTAAATGTATTAATTATTGTGTAGGTTAATAATTACTTTAATTACTTTTTTGATATGTTTTTGTATGATATATTTTTTTTTAATAAAATGAAATTATATTTTTTTAAATCCTACAATGTGCCGACTTTTAGTGCTGGTCTGTTTGCCGATTAAGAAAATCAATTAATAACCTTTGACCAAAATCAAGGATTGTAGCGCCACTGCTTTTGTAGTAGTACCTACACAATTTAAATGTAGCAAATTTGTTGAAACTTTTTTTTTCAAACCTGGGTGTTCAAGCCCCATCCATAAACTATTTTCTTTCATGTGCAGAATTACTTGTGTCCACACGTTTAAAGAACCATAAAACGACGTATGTCAGGCACAAATGCACCTGCTTATACAGACTCAAAAAGTGTTCGGTATTCGTGGCGGGATTAGAAGACTTCAAAAAGACTAAACGTCTTCTTAACTAAAAATGTGACAATTAAGAAAAGAAGACAAGCCATAAATTTATTAAATAAACGTCATTTGCTATTTATTTTCTGTTTCATTGTATGCTTTGCGTGTACGGGTGATTCATAGACAACGGGTACGTTGTCAACTTGATTCTGTCATAAACAAAACATAAAAGACCTCCCATAATTAAAGTCCCGCGTATTAAAATATATCCAACTGTTCCAAAAACAGCTAACTCCTAAAGGGCCGGCAACGCACCCACAAAAATGGGTGTCCATGGTTTTGCCCGTCTCGTAGGCTTGTTTGCCCCAAATATGCTACATAAAAATTGTCTTTCTTTGTATTAGTAGTTTTTATTTTAGTAAAACTTCTTTTACGAATATAAATGCGTTAAAAACGCGATAAGCTGATGAGGCAGACTATCGCTTTGCTGAAAAGCACTCGAAACGGTATGTAAATATTGAAATAAGTTTGATTTTTAATTTTATTTAAGTACTAGCTGACCCAGCAAACGTTTGTTTAGCCATGTATATTATTTCTAGGAAACATTTTTTTACTTTAATAAAAATAACTATCTACAGTAATAAAAATTTGGGGTTAAGCGTAGAGGGGGGAAAATTAGGGGTTGTATGTATTTTTGTATGCTGTATCATAAAAAAATTGAAACAAAAAAAAATTCACTTCATCAGTTCAATCACTTAGGGGTTGGAAATATAGATAGTAGCAGAATATAGTATTCTCATACTTACTGATTATGCATAAAAAATTTCATAAGAATCGGTTGAGCCGATTCGGAGGAGTATGAGAACGAAAATTGTGACACGATAATTTTATACGAGTATATAGAGATAATATATTTTTTTATTTATTCAAGTTTACCACAACATACATAATACTATATATACGGTATATGTTACAAGCTGTTTTAGCTTAAATATATGAAAATTTTGGTGATAATAAGTGTTACAAAAAAATAAAATACTATATAGCAATTTTTGTTAAGCAGAAATTTTTTTTTACCAGAAATTCAACGGTTATAAGAATATTATTAATAAATATTTTTAATTTTATATGACACGTTTTTAAATGATTTTTTTGCGATTCATAGTTTCTACGATAACTACGTGTTACAAAAAGTCTCAAATAGATGACTTGTAAAATGTTCCCAAATATGCCCTCGACATAGGAATGTAGAACTTATTAAACAATTTTATCTGCGTACATATCAACAATTTTACGGCGGTAAAATCCTTCATCTAATTTTGACGAAAAAATTGATTTATCATACAAATGTTATGTGATAAGATAGTGAGTGTGACAATTTAATCATGTGTGCACAGGTTATATACTGACGCTTATATGGTTTGTTTATACTTTTAAATCAAAAATATGTCTAGTCTGCCTGCTGTTTACTCGTGTTCAAATTGCATGCGATATAAGTCTTTGATGGCGAACCTATTTAGATAAAACCTCTTTACGGATTTTTTAAAAACATTCGATGTTAGAACAACGGATATGGCCGGCGAGACAGTCGCAAATAAACAGTTGAACGTCGGTAACATTCCCATTTCATTTAATATTCGAAATTACAACCATATACATAAACATATGAGGTAAAGTAGTCGCCGCAATTATAATCGAAATAAGTAAAACAATAATACTTGAAAATGAACACTTACTTCAGAACAGCTCTCGTGTGCATCTTCTTCTCGGACGAATACATTTATTTGACTGAATTATTTCGCCGTATATACAAAGAGGATTAGCTTTCTAAAATATACAGTTTTTATAAATAAATAAAATAAAAATAAATAAATAAAATAATTATTTTGCAATCTGCTAAAAGCTATCTAAATAAACTTTTTGATATTTTATGTTTAAAAATTCTTAATATTAGATCGCATATAGAGGTTTTGAAAAAGAAATTCTTTATAATATTTTTTTTTATTTAAGTCCTACAACATCATATTTGCTTAAAATATACAAGAAAGAAATAATAACCATTACTTATGAAAACCGAAGAACAGGACAATAATAAAAATTCAAAAGGCGCTCCACGAGTTAAGTTCGGTGGCGGTTGTTTTATGGATATGTTCAAATAAAACACTTTAAATCTGGGTAATAACTAGCTTTTTTAAAACATGACCTTATAACTAAGATAACATTAGGGGTAGGGGCTTGAGACGCTGGATTAACAAAAAACTAACTTATTGAAGAGTTCGTAGATCTAAGGGACACTTATGTTATTGGATATTTTTGGAAACGAGAATGTTAAATTACAATTTATGATGTGGTAAAAAGTAAAGCGTTTTTTTTTTTTTGGATTCAAGTGTGCGGTGATTGTTTACGCTTCTAGTTATTAATAAAGATATATACAGGGTGGCCAAAAAGTCGTGGATCAAACGCAAATAGGGGATAGATGAGGTCATCAGCGGCAAAAAATTGTTCTACGGGAGGTCTCTAAGGTCAACCCCTGCAGAGTTATGATTTATTTTGGTTTTTATATGAAAATTGACTTTTTTTTACTAATTCTTCTTAAAATTCGAAAATATCTACATCCTGTATCTTTCTCATAATATCCACTAGATTGGTACTGATGAGTTCTTGCGTTAGACATACTATTTATAGTTGTTTATTGAGTGTATTGAAGATAATATTAAGTTATACGATATAAATTTTTTTCAAATCAAAACTTTTTGTTTATTTCGGACCCCACTGTGAAAAAAAATTACTCTACCGAAAAGTGACCCTATACTACAAGTTTTGGCGCATTTGATATGGATTCTGAAAAGGTATTACACATGGCCATAAGTCGCTCTAATATCTTTCTAGGAGGAAAAAACAACAACGATTCGGACTTATGATAGATTATTTACCTACCTGTGACCAGTACTGTGTGAATCGGACTAGATTCAAAGAATTGGACAGATGGCTGGAGGGTTACTTAGGAATTTGTTTAGACGGTACAGATTAACTATTATGGTCAGCCGTCAGAGTCAGGAAAAAAATGCGCCAAAACTTGTAGTACAGGGACACTTTTCGGTGGAGTAGTTTTTTTTCACAGTGGGGTCCAAAGTAAAGAAAAATTTATGATTTGTAAAAATGTTATATCGTATCACTTAATATTATCTTGAATACACTCAATAAACAACTATAAATAGTATGTCTAACGCAAGAACTCATCAGTACCAATCTAGTGGATATTATGAGAAAGATACAGGATGTAGATATTTTCGAATTTTAAGAAGAATTAGTAAAAAAAAGTCAATTTTCATATAAAAACCAAAATAAATCATAACTCTGCAGGGGTTGACCTTAGAGACCTCCCGTAAAACAATTTTTTGCCGCTGATGACCTCATCTATCCCCTATTTGCGTTTGATCCACGACTTCTTGGCCACCCTGTATATATATAATATATAATATAATATGTAATCTTAGGTTACATAACTCACGTCGAAACAATTAAAATGATGCACATTCAACGTAAGATCCCTATCATCCAAAGGCAATTAGATCTAAACAACGCATTGAGAAAAATCTGAAAAAATAGAAATGAAAAAAAAAAAAACTTAATTTTTTACAACTTAACTAAAGAATTCTTGTATGGATTAATTAATAAAAAATAATATTAAACAAATAGTCAGCTATGCAAATATTTGTGTATCTTACGCCCACGGTGTTACTGGCATTACTGCTAAACATTCTGAGAAGAGATCATGTTTAATTAATATCTAATCAGCATTAATAGTGCTGTGGAGTATTCATATGTCTTTGTTATTGCAAAGTTGTCTATCGTATTAATTACCAATTAGCGGTAATTCGTTTAGTGGAACCGATCGAAACATAAATATGTGAATGTGAACTAATATATGAATTTGGTAGTAATTAAACGAAAAGGCGTGTCGGCAGATTCGGGCAAAATCTATAGATATCGATGCTATGGAAGAAAAATTACTACACTAACTAGACTTATGTGTGTCTGTTATATCTGTGAACACACTATATCTGATCTGAAATTATCGTGATTCATGCCCAATTTTTATTTTTCATGTATCCTTTTTTAGTTTAGTTTTCTGTTTCTGTAAATAACTATATGTATTATGTATTTTTGCACTTCTTGCTTACCTTATCTATTACTTTTTTCTCATAGTGGTTGCCTGGCAGAAATCGCTCGAAAGCGATGAGGCCGCCAGTTGCCATCCTTTTCATTTAATTATGTTAATTGTATTATGTTTCTGCAACGAAATGTTAATAAATAAAAATAAAATAAATAATAAATATATCTATCATAATATATCAACCAAGTCAACCGCGTAGAAACGCGGAATGCCCTCTGCCTCACTTGGTTTATAACCATAACCATAACTCGTATAACCATCCTGATCGGTCCTGAGCAGCTCTTAATTAATTCCATCATTCCTCGCCTCTGCAATGATGCTTCGTTGCCAGGTCTGTTTTGGGCGGCCACGCTTCCTTTTGTCTTGAGGATTTCAGTCAAGGGCTTGCTTTGCAATGTGACTTTGATCACTTCGGAGCGTATACCACCCATTTCCACTTTCGACATTTTATAGACCTGTAAATTGGCACCTCATCGCACCTCCCCCATAGTTGATGATTAAAGATTCTCTGAGGACAGAAAATTTCGACGATTTGCGAACACATTTATGCTATCACATTCAAATAATAAAATGAAAAAAAAAGTCAACATAAATCTAAAATTTATAAAAATAATTTGAATATAGTAATACGACATTATTTCGCATTTCGATAATATCATTAAAAATAAATGAAACTTAACAATGCTCCAAAACGCAATGAAGTTACTTGCCATTGTAGAAACCATACTAAAAAGAAGTAGTTTATTCAATCTTAATTTGTATTCTTTATTATCTTAATGCATAGAAATGTATTACTAATTCAAAAATTAATCTAAAACATATAATTATATAGCCGAAAAAATAATTCAAAATGAGAAACCTGTTAAAAAGATCGAGAAAGAAATAGTAAATCTTTTCGTAACAATTTATGTATGTACGTGTATAATGCGACCAGAGTAACATCATCTCGATTCTCATGTTAGAAACTATAACATTGATAGATTTAATAAAAGCAAAGACATTATTAATTAGCTTCATAGTTATATTCTAGAACATATAAACAATATACTTACTTCAGTAAACAGCATCTTATCTAAAACAATAGAATATTTCATTCATAGAATTATGAGGGTAGATAATCCTTCGCAAAATAAGGTCAGTGCAGCGCCCTCATAGTTGAATGCATTCAACTGCACACCATTTCCGCCTCAATCACGGTCATACAAGACCTAAAGTGGCATACGAGGAAAATACTATAATTTAAGATGCAGTACTAGATATTATTCAGTGTTAGTGCGGATTGTAGAAAGATCGTGTGTCAAAAATGATTGTTGAACAGCACTTGACTGTGACGAGAACTTTACGTCCGGTTTTGTCAGTTAAGTGTTTTTTATATAGTATCAAGGTTTAGGAGAGTGAAATTATAGCGTGTGCGCGCGCAGTGCACAGGTGTAAAAAACAATAAATAATCAGCGCGCGATCTCTGTTGCCGTCGCCAAATTTTTGTTTCGTAATGAAAGTGATGTGATAATTCTCTTTACAGGTTTAGATTTCTTGGAACATGGAGCGGACTTCGAAGCTGCTATTTCGGCGACTGGTATGTTATTTATTAATATTTCTAGATATTTTAAGAATATAGTCGTATTATTAGAATAGAATAATAATAGGTTAAAAAGTGTGTTCTTAGTTGGATGAAATTGTAGGAATAATTATTATTTTGATTACATGCCGTTAATATGTTGGATTCTAAGATGGTAAGAGAATTGAAATTTAGTTTTTTGCTAAAAAAAATAATAATCGATTCTTCTAATTAGCTATAGTCTAATTTATATATGGCAATCTTTATATTATAACTTAATGTATGTTGAGGATTCATTCATATGTATAATTAAAAAAGGAGCTTTTATATTTTAAGCATTACGCTTCAATAATTTTTAACATAACTTCTAAAAGTAGTACTTCTAAGTAATTCATAGAAGCTTAAGGGCTTGATAGATTCAATCTTTAGCTAAATATGTAGTTCATATTTCAAAGTACAAATATTATTTTACAGGCTTTGGTCGATTCCACTTCTGTCTCCTCGCCATCACCGGACTGATCTATGCAGACACTGCCATTGGTATCACGATTGTGTCTTTCGTGTTGCCGGCAGCGACGTGTGACTTTAAAATGACATCTGCTGATAAGGGGTGGCTGACCGCTGCCCCTATGTTGGGTGAGTTTATGTTAAGCAGGCCCTTATGTTACAAATTATAAAAATTCCACCTAGGCCATGTATCCAATAATTGTTTTTGTGTTCTTTTGATTCTAGCATAGTCTGCCAACAACAAAACATTTAGTTATTTTTTTTAGAAAACTTATTGTTATTATTATTATTGTTATACATTACATAATTAACATAATTAGTAAATTTCAAATGACTATTGCTTATAAATCAAGCATAAAGGCTTAGAAAATACTCGATTAAAAGCTCTAACAATGAAGTTTTCTAATAAACCTAATAAATTACTCGCCAATGTATTGCTCGGAAGTTTTATCAGGCGTTTTAAATTATAATAAAAAGTCAACATACGTATATTCTTATATAATTTTTATTTCCCAAAAAAATACGGATATGAGAAGAAAATCATAGATGCAATATTATGTGAACTAGATACTAAAAACTTATATATATACATTTTATTACAATACTAGAAGCAGTGGCGTAACTATACCATCTGGGGCCCGTGGCAAATTTTGATTATCCCTATCAGTTAAAATCGTCACGTTGTACACCGTGTAATTTTAATAATCTATTGGGCAGGGGCCCTCTTGGGTCGGGGGCCCGTGGCATTTTGCAGTTTTTTTTTATTGTTACGCCACTGACTAGAAGCTTGTAGGTTCTGAAAAAGATTATATAATAATATTTTTGAAAACTCAGGGAGCGTCCGCGGAGGACGTAGAAATTATTCTAATAAAAGATTATGTATAATTCATTCAAATCACTTAAAGTAATATTTCGTAATATTTTTCCTTATAGGTATGGTCATCGGTTCCTACTTCTGGGGATGTCTGGCTGATACCAAAGGTCGTAAGGTTGTGCTGGTCTCCACACTGCTGTTGGATGGCTTTGTCGGCATCTTATCGTCAATGGTCCAGATGCTACCCATCTTCATGGCTTGTAGATTCATTAACGGTTTCGCGTAAGTTTTGTTCTTTAGTTTTTGTGATATAAAAATTATTAAATATATATTAAACACATAAGAAATATCATACTAAAATAAGAATTATGGGTGTTACGTTAAATTAATTATGTATATTTATTTAACGAATATTATGTATTGTCTTTGGTTCACTAGTACTACACATTCGAACATAGACTAAAGAATATATAAAACATAACATATTTTATTAATAACAAAAGCTGACTCTTCTTAAATGGTTTTTCTCATGTTTTTTGTTCAATTGTAAAACTATAATCTGCATTACAGCGTCGCTGGCGCCATGGGAATCTGTTTTCCATACCTCGGCGAGTTCCAAGCTACAAAATACCGTGAGAAAATCCTGTGCTGGATGGAAATGTTTTGGACTCTTGGTGTCATCTTGCTACCACGTAAGTTAAACACATACAAATAATTGATGAAAACTAATCATAATTAATTTGATAGCAGTTGCAGCAGTTGGCCTAGTGGCTTGAGCGTGCGACCCTCAACCCTAAGGTCGTGCGTTCGTGTCACGGCTGGGCACCTTTTCTTTTTATGTGCGAAATAAAATATTGAGATGTTTAATTAAGTGTTTTAACCTTGAATATTATATATGAATCATATATTCATGAAGATTGATATAATAATTAAATACTAACAATGGCGAATACACACTATACTATTGTGGAGGAAGGAAGGTGCTGCTCATCCTCGAACCTCAAGAAAGAATGAAAAAACTATACCTATTATACACAATAACAGGATATTAAGGTAAAATAAAGTTCACTAGGATTCCCTGTATTCTCTTCAGCCATTCTCTTCTTTTTGACAGGGATCCTCACTCGACCAGTCTAACCACAGACTGGCCCGAAGACCCAAGTGGTTAAGGTCCAGAATATGTTGTTGTTGTGGCCTTAGTGGTCGGAATTGCGTTATCGCAGGGTTTGACCTCATCGCAGTAATTGTAGCCGTAAAATATAGCTGTAGTTACATTATAATTATTTAATATTTTACAAACACATTACAGTTTTCGCCTGGGCTATCATCCCAATACAAGGAATCAGGATGGAAGCCAGTGGCTTCTCGTACGATTCATGGAACTGGTTTGTGGCTGCTTGCGCCGTGCCGTCCCTCCTCCTTGGGTTTTGGCTAATGACCTTCCCCGAAAGTCCCAAGTTTATGATGGAGTGCGGTGACTATGATGACGCTCTTGCATGCCTGAAGACCGTGTACAAACAGAACACTGGTGATGACCCCGACAACTATCCGGTAAGATTTCGAAAATTATTAAATATTATACTAGCTGCCCCCGCGAACTTCGTTTCTCTTTAATGTGATTTTGCTTAGCCTACCTTTTTATTACATACCAACATGGTTCATTTACTTCTTTTTTTTCTTTTCTCTATGTAAACCTCAGAGTTCAAGAGATAGGATTTTAAATAACAAATAAAAATAGGGGTTGATCATAGAGGGGTGAAAATTAAGGGTTGTATGTATTTTTGTATGCTATATCATAAAAAAATAAAAACAAAAAATTATTTCTTAAAAATAAAAAAGTAGGGGTGGACCAACCTTAACATTTAGGGGTTTGAAAGGTGAAAGTAGCCGATTCTCAGACTTACGGAATATGCATAAAATATTTCATAAGAATTGGTCGAGCCGTTTCGGAGGAGTACGGGAACGAACATTGAGACTCGAGAATTTTATATATTAGATATATTATAATTGAATAATGACAGCTATGGAGATATAATTTTGCTTACCTCGAATCAACAATCGCAAGGTGAAAAAGAATCTCGAGAAGTAATACGGGTAAGGTTTAAGAGTCCAGTACGAAGTCCGTATGTCTAAGAAGATTTGAGAAAACCACAATCTCAGTGATTAGCCTTCTGTGCAGTTGCACATAAGGAAAAATTATGAGATTTATAGAGGGTTGTACGCCACTAGATGTTTGACTTAGGGCGAAATCTTCTCGTTAATTGGCGATTTAAATTACGCCTTCAGTACCAGTAGTTTTTACCAATTCTTGAAAGGCCGGCAACGCACTCACGAGCCCTCTGGCATTAAGAGTGTCCATGGGCGGCGGTATCACTTAACATCAGGTGAGCCTCCTGCCAGTTTGCCCCCTGTTCTATAAAAAAAGATGATTGATTTAAGAATCAGCTAATAAATATATCCATCTCTTCCCAGATCAAAAGCCTCAAGGAGAAACAACGCACGATATCAGTAGCATCACAGAGCTCGCAGAAGTCCGTGCGGTCGCTCAGTATGCGCAAGCCTAAGGATCTTAAACGATTGTTCAGTGAAATCTGGACTCAGACCAAGGCCCTATGCAGACCTCCCTACCTCAAATACACGATACTCACTTGTCTCATTCAGTTTGGCTTAACGACTAGGTAACACCTGATTTCTAATAATCTTGCAATGTTAGAAACATTATTTGACTTTCAAGTTAATAATCTATGTGTAAAACTTTCATAAGCCTTATTCATCCATATATTATAGACATACATTTAACAACAATAAATACAAATTTAACTACTCTAAAATGCGGACCCTGTCTGTAAGGCCTCCTCCAACTTCCATCTGTGCCATCGTCATCCAATTTCTTCCAGCTATCCTCTCGATCCCGTCGGCCCATCGCTCTATTGGTCTGCCCATGTTCCTTTTGGACCAGTCCATTCGGTTACTGTTTTAGACTATCTGTCATCTGTATAACGGGCTGCGTGCCCTGCCCATCACCATTTAAGGAGCTATCCGGGCCAAACTCCAAAAAAGTACATTGTTTCTTTCCATTCTTTGTCGTCATTTCTTGAAGTAGAGTGAATGGATAGTAGTTTATGTATCCATTTTGAAAGATCGACACACGATTTTAATAACTTCGCTAGATAGAAAATAACTAATTGTTATCATGGGCCGGCGCGCCTCAGTGCTCCAGCTCTCCACTGCGCCCCGCAGTCCACCCCGAGACACTGATACAGCAATTCGTGCTGGGATAGGGCCTTAAGTTTGAGGTGTAAAACTTTAGTTTTTCTTTATTTAGCCATACATACGATTTAGAGATTACTATAGTGTATAATAAATTTAATCGTACCCTACTAACGAATACCTTATAATAATAAAGCATTATTTTATTTCCATATACTTAATTTACATAGCAAATGTTATTAGTAGTATTGTTAGTATTAACTTATAGCTACGTAAAATATTAGTCGCCCGTGGATATGGACCCCTCTTGAGTAAAGGCCTCTTTCAACCTATTCCAGGTGGCTAAGCCACCAGTCTGCCAGTCATTTCCTGCTATTTTTATAAAGTCATCAGCCCACCGTATTTTTGGCCTGCCCACTCTTCTTTTGGTTGTTTGGTCCATTCCATTGTGTTGTCTTTAATGTCCACTTCTTGTCCATGTTAATGACCAGCCGATTGCCATTATAATTTTAAAGCTTGCATTAGATTATTATTATAACAAATCGTTATTTAATACAAACATGTTTAATGTTTAAAGAACTTTATTTCTCATTACAAAAAAAAATGTATTTTATTTACATAAGAAACTTAATATGTATCTACGAACGAGATACACGTTGCCACCAGCCGTCCCAATTTTAGTCTACTAGGTTCATTAATATGTAAATTTAATGCCCTTTTGATGAGGAAACCGTATATAACTGGAGATTTTTTTTACCAGCTACTACACCCTAATGATCTGGTTCCCTGAGTTGTTCAATCGTTACGAAGAATTCGAGCATCGTTTCCCCAACACCTCTGCGTCTGTGTGTCAAGTTGCTGGAGTTGTCGTCAACGACGATTCCACCGATCCCTTCGACTGTGAGAAGATCATCGATCAGAACGTGTACATGCACACATTGATCGTCGGTCTGGCCTGCATTCCCACGTCTTTATGGCTTCCACTCTGCGTACACAAGCTTGGCGCCAAGTTCTTCTTGAGTAAGTATATCAGTATACTCTGATTTTTAATTCCGTAGAATTCTGAAAGCTATCATTTTTTGACATGACATTACAACCCGTTTTGGCCGGGCACATATTTCAATTTCAATACGAGTCTGAACATCGGAGTCTATACATTTTATTTGTTAGTGAATGTATCCATTTTATGAAGTGCGGTGCTCTACATTAAAATTGGTTTTACGGCGATTGATTTACGTCCCTTTTCATTGCAAACAGGTAAAGATAATATATTATTTTTGTAAAAAGGTTTACTAAACCTGGAATTAGCAGGAAGATCACTTCCTAAAGAAAGCCAGCTAAAGAATATAATATATAATATTGTTCGTAATATTGAAATATTTCTTATTTTTGTACCTTGACTAAGTAAATATTTAGTTTAGCTAAAACATAAAAAATACTAAGCATTTTATTTTTAATTGTCCTCGAATGGGTCAAATTGGTCCCTTTTTCGGTGGAGAACTTTTTTAATAGCAGCACTTATGAAATCAGAATTCTTTGGAATGAAAAATCACGAGTTTAGAGTGGTTTTATAATTTTATATTACTGGACAGTTGCATACGAAGCTGTTGTAAATGTGAAGCTATACTAACAGTCAAAAGTTTATTCAAAATAATTTCTTCTGGAACATTCATAAAAATAAAATATATTTATAAAAATAAATCTGCTAAAATTCATCCTATTTTCTTACATTTTAAAAATTATTGTTAAATGAATGATAAATTTTTCTAGTCTTCTCGCTGAGTTGCGCTGGTGCCGTCACAGTTGGTCTCCTCTTCATCGAGAACTCAACTCAAAACTTGGTGCTGTCCTGTATCTTTGAAGCCCTCACCTCGCTCGCTATCAGTCTTGTGTTCTGTGTGCTGGTAGATCTATTCCCTACAAACCTCAGGTCAGTTTTACTGTAAGAAATCGGTAGGAAATCGAACTAAAATTCTTATTCAGGGGGCATAAGAATTGTAATGTACAGAATTTTTTTAATTCTATTCGGTCGCATTTTTCAATTCTGTTTCTTTCAAAGTCCTGGTAGTGGCGCCACACAATTCACTTAAGAAACTTAATTGATAGGTTATAGGAAGAAATCACTAGGAAATTGTTACAAACAAAAGAATAACAAACCAAGAATAACTTTTCAAAACATAATAAAAACTGAAATTCTTATTTCAAATAATTTTAATAAAGATTTTCTATATGAATTTACTTGAGATTCTTACGCTTGATGCTTGCTGCACAGAGATTTATATTGGGTTCCAATTTGGATGGCTTCAGTCTCAAGTCCTACGTTGTGTTATATCCAGCTGATTTCGATTGCCCCCTAAACTTTTCATGCCCTCAGAGGGGCGTGGGGCCCACGTTAGGAAACACTGAGTAAAAGCATTTCATATGAGTCAATAGGTATACCTAAGGATTATAATTAGTGGAATAATTTTATAAGTCAATACTGCAAAAGTGGCTACAAATACTTAGTCTCTGGCACTACGTTTACTCGTATTTGCTTGTGGTCGTTAATTTGGGATGGTTTTGATGCCTGCCCCAGTAGCAATTTTTCACGCACTTGTCAGACATTCGCAGAATTTATGACAGAATTGGGTTTTTTTTTTATAACGACTTTACATGATACCTGACTGACTTAAAAATATTTTTAGGGTAATGGCAGCAGCTTTATCACTGACTGCGGGACGAGGTGGAGGTCTCATGGGTAACTTATCGTTCGGATACTTAATCGACATCAATTGTGTTGTGCCTATAGTGGCGTTTGCGGCTTTCTTATTCAGTGAGTATCTTAATGGTTATATAATCATATAAAATTTACTTTAAGATCAATCATATTGTGGGTTGTTTTATCCAAAGTACAAATATGACAACTATTTCTTAGAAGACATAGAAATTCCTAAATTAAGCTATAATCTGTGGAATTATCATAATTGCTTGTCAATTTTGGCGCTTTTTTATGCTACATCGGACTGGTCCACAGACGTAACATAGTTTAACATTATTTTTCAGTCGCCGCAGCCCTATGCTTCCTCTTGCCAAAGACGGGACAGGAGGCCCTCGACTAGACGAGTTACAATAGCTAGCTTAGATCAGTGGTACTCAACCTTTCCTCGAATACCTCAGCCTAAAGGCTAAACTGAGGGTTGGTCATCGCTGAATTCACTTCGCCGTTTTTAGACATTTCGTCAACTTGGTTGATTATGTCCTTAGATACTTGTACATATTAGAATGTAAATAACGGAATAAGTAATAAAGTCCCGGGATCGGCGCATTCTGTGATTCAGTACAATTTATTGAAATACAGATTATTGTAAGATTGAACAACAGTATTTTAGTGTTGACTTTGTAATATAATGTCCTTAAATTATTACTATATTTATTATTAAAGGTTTATTCGCCTATTATTTATAATTGTTTTATTTTCAAACCTTTTATGCCATGCAGTAAGTAACTCGCTCTTGCAAGGCGGCCTCGCGTCGAAAGCGAGAATGCTTTAAAGCGGGGCGGAAGCGGCGATATCTCGTGATGCAATTACAAGGAAATTAAAAAAAACTTAAATATCTGCAGGTGTGTTTCATCGTTCCACAACTGCCCTGCGATTCTGTAACTCACTTTTCGAACTCACTCAGCGGTTTTCGCACCGGCGGTCGCTCTGAAATCAGTCGTGAAGCAGTCATTTTATGATTTCGCATTCTAATAAACAATAAACTACAAGCTTCCACCTTTTCAGAATGCCAAATCATAAAATGACTGCTTCACGACTGATTTGAGAGCGACCGGCGATCCGAAAACCGCTGTGTGAGTTCGAAAAGTGAGTTACAGAATCGCAGGGCTGAGCGTTATTTAAGGCAATTTTTTGCGCACCAGCACTATATGGAACCAGCTATCCACTTGAAGTATTTCCGAATCGATTCGACTTAGCGTAGTAGAGTAGCGTTCCAATTCCTAAAAGACCGGCAACGCACTCGCCAGCCGGTATCACTTAACACCAAAATTGCGTCTTGCCCGTTTACCCTGTTTTATATAAAAAAAACCTTGAAATTATTTTAAGTTTTAACCATCAGTGCTTGGAATAGGAATATTTCATATGATGCATTTAATCCGTGTCAACTGAGAGATCAGTGCGTTTCATCAAGATCGGTTTACTTATAGTACTTTTTAAAAACTGGGTTCCATTTCCGGCACGGTACATAATTTTTCTAGTCAATAAGACAGGCATATACTGTATGAGATTCTTAATGACTTAAGGAATACCTACCTTTACTCCTTAATAACCTTCATATTAATATTACTTTAATTATAATTATTAGTAATGTCTGAATGAGCGTCAAATATTTTTTTACTACAATTCAGAATTGTGACAGTTTTGTGTTGATAGGGATTATATTATACATCTTTTATAATAAAATCAAATAATTCACGGCATTTTTTAAATATTTTTATTAAACATTACATAATATTAAAATGTTACAACAAGCCTGGAAATAATAAGTGCATCAAATAATCTCTGCGTTTTCTGGCCTCAGTTGTCGGATTATGGAAAAAAACATTGGACAACAAAACAAACTTGGAGTTGAGTAATTTAGATGATTTAGAGAGTTTGACATTAAATCGAGAGACGTTTCATTTCACACTATACTCAAATATTAAACATACATACCTTGTAGGCTTAGCACATACAAGACATAATTTAAATAAATAGAATAAAGGATTAATATTACACAGACGTCCGTCATATTTAGGAATAGTAATTCGTATGTTATGTAATTATGTATGAAAAACACGGTTTGGTGCGAAGAAGTTCTAATATTTTTTTTAAATAAGTAGTAGTCTGTGCAAAAGTTAAAATGTCTGTGACATTGCAATAAGTTATTGGCATACGAGATTACGTCATGAGTAATTTGCGTGGGAAAGTACGCACATTCACTTTTAGTAATTACTTTAAAAAAAATTTTCCTAATAATATGTGTTTATAGTTTTGTCAACACTGCGAAAAAATATGTGTAGGTGCCCATTGTAGTTATAAACAAACAACTGCCGTTGAATTATTAATACGTGTTTTATCAACTAAAGGGAATAACGGTAGGCATCAGAGAAATAACATTCAGAAGAAAAATACTAACTGAAACATTTCTATTAGTTGATCACTTATAGTAAATATTATTACATGTTATTTAACTTACTTTAAATGTGCTGAAATTAATTAACATAATTATACAATAAAAATCTTGTTATATTATATGCTAAAACTAACAACCACTTTAAATGGTAGAGGACAGAAGTTACTCAAATTTAATAAATAACAAATACTTTTCAATTTCAAAATGTTTTAAATAAACAAAATATTTAATTATAAAAATAAACAATAAAATTTTAGCGACAAAATATTCTTACACTTAAATGAATCTGATAACTCGCAACTGTTACTTAGCGTGTGCAGCACTAGGCACTTGTGGTAATCCAAACTCATCAACCGGTACACCATCCTTATTCCTGATGCTGTCAGCACCTGGTTCCTTATCAGGTGCCGCAGGTGCTTTAACCACATCATCCAGGTACGATGTGTCATCATCAAGGGCTATTTCATCACCTGAAATTTAGATAAGAGTACATATAGAATTATTTCTTATTTGAATAAAATTCATACTTAGAAAATAATTATTAATATAAAATATAATAATTTAACTTAATGTAATATTACAAATATTAATTGCTGAAATGTAATTAGGATGTGTAAGTGGGTGTGCGATGATGTACAAATTAATAATCAATTATATATATACCTAAAGCATCCAATTCTGCAGCCAATTCATCATCATCAATCTCCGGCATGCCATATTGCCTACCAAGGGCTTCTTGAACTTCATCTGCTTGTTCTAACATATCTGCCAATTCATCATTAACATCCTGAAAATATAATATACAATAGGATAAAAATCACTGTCAGTTTATACATGAATTACATTTGGTAATCTAAAATTAAATTTTTTCCTTTTTTATTTAGAATGCTTAAATTGATTTAAGTACAGTGGAATCTCTATAACTCGAATCTCGCTAAGCCGAAATCCTCAGTAAGTCGGAAAAATTGCCATTCCCTTCCGCTGAACCCCTAAATACGCGATATCTCTAATTAATTAGACTTTGTATCTTGAACAAAATGTTATTTCCCTATGAAGTATTGATAATACATACAGTGTAAACTCTTTATAACGGTATTCGCTATAACAAAAAACTCACTATAAGGTAAAACTGAGTTAAATTTGTTTGGTTTAACACAAAACCCATACAATAATTCACTCTTTATAAGGCAACAGCTATTACAAAGAAATATTTTCATATTTAGACATCCACAACATACTTAAGTGTATTTGTTTTTATAATCAGTTTACAAAACTATATATTGTATTTAGTTATTTTTTTCTCTTTCCTCCGCATAACGAAAACTGTCTATAACGAAAAAAAATGCTTGGTCCCTTGAAATTTAATAAAAGTCTACACTGTATTTAAATTCTATAACTTGAATTTCAAAAAGGAGACTCCGCAAGGTCGTAGTTAGGAAATTATAATGACATGTAACTTGGAATTCCCCGAACGGATAGCAATAAAATCCAAAATGAATGTTCGGGTTCGGAGCTTCTAATCTATTATTTTTGTCTTGTACACATGCAATCGAAAAATACACTTAGAAATCGCCCCTCTGTAAGTCGGAATTTCAGCAGTTAAATCATATTTATCTGGAATATCTTGTTAAGTCGAAATCTCATTTTTTTGTTGCATAAATATAAAATAATCTGTTGTCTATGACCACCAGTATTATTAAAATACAAAAGTAGATTTGATAAAATAGTAAGATTCAGTATGGTGTGAAAAAAAATTATATTCTACTATAGTTTACTGCTTTCAATCTCAAAAATTACGACTGTATTGGTGACATTCAGAAACAAGACTTATAAAACATTTGTGTCCCATTTATGAACTTTCATTATTAGGCAATTATTAAGAGTCTGTTCCGAGGTCAAAAGTTTATATCAAGATTAAGAGACAAGGTTTTAAGTGGAGTAGGATAAAAACCTAATAAATAACCAACTTACATCAATAGAATCAATATTAATCTTCTTAAATTCCTTCTTCATAGACTGCACACCATCTTTCATAGCGGTAATGGTTGTATGTGTATCTTTCAATGTCTGTGTTGTATAATTTGCCTGCTCCATATTAAATGATTGTGCTCTTAAATTTTCTATTTGTTGTTCATACCTATATAATAATGAACAATTTTTTAACCATAACTATAGCTCTCAAATTATTTATGTCCATTTCAAATATACCTTAACTCAATGCAATAAAGATACCATGACACTCACAAGAATAAAAGAAATAATAAATAACTTTCAATAGTGGTTACATATAATTTATGATTACATTTATAAATAAAAAAAATGCTTATGTACATACATTTTTTTTTGCTTCAAAACTCTCATTGCTTTTTGTTTGACAGAGTTTTTCGCAGGCCCTTCTCTCATTTTTGCCATTTGGTCTTTATATTTTCTCAATTCTGCATCTAATTTGTTAACTTTCTGTTCAATGCCATCTGCTCTGGTATCAACCTGCAGATTTATTAAATATTGTGTGTAATTAATAAGAATGTATTAAATTTATTTACTGTATTGTATGAATCATACGAAGCCATGAAGATAGTAGGTACTTACAGTACTGATGCAATCCGTTAAGCTGGGACCTGGAGCTTTAGGTTTTCCTCTACCGAATATTCTATTCATCTTTAGCAATTATTTTCTTTACTCTCGATGAAAACAAGTATTCAATGTTAACAAATAAAAATATGTCTCTAAATGATTCTGATTTTTTTCTTTTTTTTTGTATCTAACAAATTGAAATTACACATCAAAATATGATTTGAAAATTTACATTGTTGTTCACAGATAACAGATAACTTCATAAAGATACTTAACACAGGCACAGTAGAGCTTCAAAGATAGTAAGTGGGGGCCTCATAGCCTAGCGGTCTTATTAAGTGGCAGCTAGGTGAGGGGTACCGGGTTCGATTCCTGTTCAGGCCAAGTTTTAATTTAATTTAAATTTGTTCTCGGCCTTTGGGAGGGTATGTGCTGTACCGGGTGAGTGCTTAAACCGTACAGTGAAGGACACAGTCGAATTTCTAAAGACAAGCACGAATTATAAAAAAATATCCAATACTTGACGCTGGCTAATGCACAAATCGTGCCAGAGCCATTTAAAAAAAAAATTGTGCGTGTACTAGGTGTACACACGTAAGAAGTGAAACTTCTTTATGATCTTATTTTTCGAAAAATGATCTACTATAATATGCAACTTTACAGAAATTCGTTAAATTAGATAAAGTTTAACAAAAGGCTTTTATTATCATAGACATGAATACAAATATTTAATTTTACCTTATTACTACGAAGATTATTATAGAATTTCATTAATTGTAATAGAATTATTACTATCATTGAAAAACGTGACGATTTGCTACAAAATTTCTCCTATACGTCGATAAAGAAGTTTCATTTCAACGCCGATAAAGAAGTTTGACTTCAAAAAGCAACATGGCGCGTAACCGAAAAATGTGACGCGTACCGAAAAAATTGTTGCGTGTACAAACGTAAGAAGTGAAACTTATATAAAACCTTTGTTGTACACAGAGCCATAATTGGTTTGTTTTAAGTTTAGAGGTCCGAAACTATTTCTTTAAACACAGTAAATTTTGATACACTGCCTAGCATACAATTTACAAATTAATTGCTGCAAATTGCGCAAATTTCAAGTCGAAAATGTAATCCGTTGTCAAACTTCAAAGTCAAAAACATACTATATGTCATATTTTAACGCCGATAAAGAAGTTTGACTTCAAAGAGCAACATGGCGCGTAACGCAAAAATGTTACACTAAATTTTTTTCCAACCCCGATAAAGAAGTTTCACTTCAAAATAAAAAAAAAGATAGTAAGTGCATTTGATTGATTTATTTATTAAAGTTCAATACAGCATAATATATAATGTTACATCTATAGTATGTATATGTTATAAGCTATCTTTTCTAAAATATGTTTTTTATAGAGTTTAGGTTTTTGTCACCTTGAATTACTATAATATAGAAAAGAAAAAAAAAGACCATGAACTACTATATTATAGTAGTTCATGTCAATTCAATTCATTCATTTTTTTATATAGAGCAAGGAGTAAACCGGCAGGAGGCACGCCTGATGTTAAGTAATACCGCCCATGGATATTCTCACTGCCAGAAGGCTCGCAAATGCGTTGGCGGTATTTAAAGAATTGGTACGCTCTTTTCTTGAAGGACCCTATGTCCAATTAGTTCGAAAATATTTCAATGGGTAGCTGGTTCCACATAATAGTGGTGTGCGCTTTATAAGTTGCAAGCGATAGCCCGGAGTGAAGTACCGTCACGCCTTCCACATGACTGTGAAACTGAATGCCGTACGCTAATACATGGCGGTGTTGTCTGTGGCTTTAAGGAGAGTATCAGCTTTAAAGATACTTTTCTTGTAACATTTAAATTGGAGTAGATTAAGTCGAACTGGGATTGTTCGAGACTCCACGTAGCAGAGTTTAGACTTCAGACACAAGTTTTTCCGGTACTGATTGACAACTGCCCAAGAAATATTAAGTACAGGTATCAGAAACGGCGCGTTAAGACTAGAACCATCAGGTCCGCTCGACTTAAGTATCTCCAATGAGAGATAGAGCTTTGTGGATAATACGTTGCTGGAATTTATTTTCGGCATCATATTTCATTTCGTAGGTGGTGCCTTCCGACCGGCATTCTCTATCGCGGTGCGGGCCATAGGGACATCCTCCTTGGGCAGAGAAAATTGCCTTGAAATGAAATTGGCTTTGGCTAGAGACCAGAAGGCTCGAGTCCTCGAAGGGCAAATCTAGCAATGTGCTGTGACTTCGGTTTTTCGTATTTTGTCAATAACTCAATGTTAGCAGTAATGTGCTAAGTTTATAAACATATTTTAAAAAAATACGTTTATTTTTCAATATCTGTATTTATTTTCTTCAAATACATTTTACGATAACCATAGATTAATGACAATTATTGAAGTTTCTACTTTCAATGTTTCATCGATGATTTTTTTTTTCTTTATGGCTCGGGCACGGTTTGTGCATTAGCCAGCGTCAAGTATAATCATCGATAGGGATGTGACATTTGGCATAAAAAAATTCGATTTTTCATTAATCGATTATTTTTTTTAGCATGAAAAATCGATTAATAAATAATAAACTAATAAAAAAATCGATTTTTCTTAAAAAAATAATCAATTTTTTTTAATAATCGATTTTTTCCTAATTTTTGATCTAATTTCAAAATAAACACCCTAAATATTTTAATTTTCATGGTTTTTTTAGTTAAAAATAAACAATAGAAATTATAAACACAAATTAACGTTTAAGAATAATCAAAATCGAAATTAACCTAATCTCGTTTTGATAGATTTTAGGTGAAATTTGATAAATGCTGAGTGTATGCCTTTTCAGTAGCACATTTCAGTATTTTTGTTGTCTTTTTAATTGTATGTAGTCTTGTGCTGCTGAAAAAAATTATTTTAATTTTAAATTATAGTGCTCCTTATTCACACTTGAGTTTTTGTAAAATTAACTGGTTTTATCATCCTTTCAATGTTTTACAAAAAAAAACATCAATGCATCGAATATATCAATTATCAATACATCTTCAAAGAATCGGATTCAATGTATCGCATTGTAAACATCGCTGTATGTCGAATATCCCTAGTTCGGTCCGGGTTATAAAAGACCAGACATAATGTCGGGAGGTGGCAAAAATAATCGATTAATAATCGATTATTTTTATAATTGAAAATCAATCATAGTCGATTTTTTATCTGGCATCTCCCGACATTATCTTTGGTATTTTATAATTGATTGAAAATCGATTTTTTTAATAATCGATTATTTTTTCACATCCCTAAATTCATCGGACATCGATGATTGCTGCAAAATTTTAATTACAAGATCCGCGCATTTCTCAAATATCAAGTAAAGGTTAAACTTTTATCTCGTTTTACTATCAATTTAAATCTGTCTTACAAGTATAAACCAAAATCACGAGATTGGTTAATAAGTCAAAATAATGTATTAATGTTATTGTGATATTAAATATTTCAACATCGATGTGTAAAATTGAGATTTTAATAAATTATACATTTATTCATCATTAAAAATAATTATTACTATTACCTGATATGCTCTGACATAATATATTCTATGATGACCTTATGATCGAATTTTTAAAGGTAACACAATAATCGCAGTGTTATAAAAATTGCCAAATTTTATCATATAATTTATAAGATCAGAAAATTAAGCTTATGTACAAAAGTATGACTGCCAACGGAATAGTGAATAAGGTATGTAAAAGATGAGTATTATTAAATACTTTAATTAGTATAAACTAAGAGCTTTATAATATATGATTTCTAAATGAGATGCATTTAATGGTTTCACTTTGTTCTTTACTGAATCACTAAAAGCTTTTTATTGTTGCCACATGTATTTTTTGTTGTTGCAGAAATTACCCTGCAATACAATATGTAATGTCATCAAATGTTGGCAATGGGATATATCTCCATTTATTGAAAATGTAAAACAGAACAGCACCAAGTATGCAGTTGTCATTTTGAATCGTCCCATAACTCAAAAACAGGACTTTGTCAAGAGTTTGTGGAATAATGGTATGTTGATAGATGCCAAATCTTAGGAAAAACAAGCAAGTTATAACACAAATATTATATACACTAAGGGTAAAGCATCAGTAAATTATCTATAGAAATTCGCTATACTTGAGAGGAAAAATAATTATTTAGAAGATGTATGTATGTAAGGCATACACAAGCTTCTTCATTACATTGTTTAGATAACATACCATTTCATACATTAATTATTTAAGCAATATTTTTGGATTATTACTGCACTATATATTTTAATGATTAAAAACACTAAGTTTGACTCTGAATCAACTAAAACATTTCAAAGTTTAGGTTTACATCATATGTTATGTTTGTGCTTAGTTTTGACTCAAAATTTGACCTATATAGTACCTTTATATTATTTAAAATTGTTACATTTAATATATATTTATGAATTTGGTTTCAGCCACAGTCAGAGTGACGGTAGATGGTGGGACAACTCATTGGAACAATTTCTATAAAAACCTTGTAAATGAAGACAAAAAGAATATCAGGTTGCCTGATCTAATAACTGGTGATTTTGATTCTATCACCCAAGATGTTCTACAGGAGTTTAAAAAGAAAGGTTGTGAGGTGAACTTGACATAAATAAATATATATATATATATATATATTTAAATATATATATATATATATATATATATATATACATATATTTAAATATATTTAATTAGATGAACAGTTCTTGTTAACATATTATACAAAAATTTCATATAAATAAAATCATAATATCCTTATATTAAAAACCAAAAGTTTCTTTAGACACTATCCAGGAACTGGAAGTGAAAATCAGGAGAGAAGTTTTGCTATTTGGGAATATTACACTATTTAAATATTGCCTTTATGCGTGTGCTGCAAAAACAGTTAAAATTACGCAAATCTCAATTATAAATTGTTCCTCTTTAAAACTTCTAAACATTAATAAAAAAGTATTCATTATTTGTAATATGTTATTATCACATGTATTTAATTATTGACTTTTAAAATAACAGCAAAATGCATGAATGCACATTTTTTACTAAAGGTTTTAAATTAACATGTGTGCTAGGTACAGTGTTACCATATACACTATAATATATTTAAACAAATCTGTTGCTTTCCTTACAGTAAAAAATTACTTTAACTTATTGTTACCAAATATAAATTTCCTTTTTTATATAATTTTTATTTCAGTTAAACTATACACAATATAAAAAACTGATTAATATTATTACTTAAGTACTCTGTTATTCTGTCTAATTGTGTTTAAGATATGTAAAGAGAATATAGTATTGTAGTTCAAACGAAGCAATTAGACTTGATCCATTAACTAATAAGTTTAGAATGTTTATATTTATTTGTAATAGACTAAATAAACATGTAATTTTTTTGTTTTTATAATAGAAGTATACCAGATGAATAAACATTAATATCGTTTACAGGCTGTGCACACACCTGACCAAAACTACACAGACTTTACGAAGGCCTTAATAGAATTGAATAATTATAATGAACAGCATAAAACAGAGGTAAGGTAATTGAAATATATTATCTATTTATAGGAATTTTTTTCTGCTTAGTGATCTAGTTACTTATGTCTATAGTCTGTGTTGAAAAATTTGACAATTGTCGCTGGTTTTGATTTGCTATTTGCCCCTATAATACAAATACCGACTTCATTAGAGTTTTTGTATCAGCTACGTTTGCTTCTAAAGAACCAAGCAAAGGGTAAATAAATACTGAAGTTAGGATAGCTATTGTTATTTTATATGTTTAGTTCAAAAGGTACATAAATAGCCTCTTGTCATGTAAGACCGAGAATAAATTGAACTTAAAATAATTTACTTACCCCAGAGCCCATACTTTGTAACTTCCATACAATGAACTACATCGAACTGGCATACAAAACGAGATTGGTATAGCTGTCGCATACCAATCCTACTATAATTGGAAGTTCAAGTATATGAGCTATGGACCTAATTATAAGGACAATAGAAATAACACTTTGAAACAATATATTATATTTGTCTTTGATTGACATAACCTTTACACATTTAAAGAAAAAACTTTTTAACCGGATTAAAGTTATGTATTATTATAAATTTACAATTATTTAACATAATTTTAAATTTATCCGACGTTTCGCGTAGCGTGCGTGGTCACGGTGATATTATATTTGACATAACAAACTACATACCACACTAATGACTTCACTCTACCGAAGCAGCGTCATTCTTCCCAGTTTAAAAAAAAACTATTTAGTCTCAGCTTATTATCTGCTGCGTGATCATTTATTTTTCTTAATTGGCCAGGATCCAGAGTGGATTCTTAAACTAAGTACGACTTTCGTATGTCAAAAACATTTTTTTTTATTTATTTGCTCAACAGTATTCCTACAGCTACTCACTTAACAATTACATTGTTCACAAAAGCCAAAAACGGAATACACATTCAAACATAAACAAAGCACAGTTTTACCTATTTATACAAAAAATATGACACAGTAGATATTTATAGTAAATTCTAAATTGTAAGATTCATTTTTTTTATCATCCGCGTGAAGAATGCATTTATTACTAACCAAATTCGGTAAATCATTAATGTACAGAAAAAACACCAATGGGCCCAGAATGCTCCCTTGAGAACGCCCTTATTGCAATCTATAGCCACAGATCATTATAATAAAGGAAGAATAACAAAGCCATTATTAATAAAAGATACCATATTGACATAGGAGAGGAGAGTTTGTGCTAAGTCTCGACTCTGAATCCTAACTTTACAGACAAACGCGACTTGAGCAATAAGTCTTCATAACTAGGTGCTTCAAAATCTTAAGATGTTGGATGTTTCAGTTGGATCACATTGTAACATTAGGCCAGAACTCTGGCCGCATAGACCAAATTCTCGGCAACATTCAAACACTTTTTCTGGTCAGAGAAATGCACATACTGCCGCCTAAAACAAATGTGTATATCATGTCTGATGATACGGTATCCTGGCTTCTTTCCCCTGGCGACCATGTTATTTTTGTGCCAGAGGAGACCAGGACGTTCAAACGGTCGTGGTGCTCTTTGGTGCCTGTCGGAGAAAGTTGTGACGCGGTTACAACTAGTGGACTTAAGTGGAACTTGAGTAAGTTTACGAATTTATATACAAATTATTTTATTATGTAAAAATATTTACTTAAGAAGACTAACGAGTAACGATATGACCAGTAGGTTTTCATCAATTATCGCGTGTGAAACAAGTGGCAAACGGGCAGGAGGCTCACCTGATGTTAAGTGATACCGCCGTCCATGGATACTCTCAATAACAGAGGGCTCGCGAGTGCGTTTTGAGAATTGGTACGCTCTTTTCTTGAAGGACCCTAAGTCGTATTGGTTCGGAAATATCTCGACTGACACCTGGTTTTACTAAGCGGTGGTGCCCAGCAAAGAATACCATAGATTTGGGCCCCGGAATACAGTTGTTTAAAAATAACATAACATTAATATTTACGTTATAATTTACGTAAACATTTTTTTTAGATAATCAGCCATTAAAATTTGGCTCCCTCGTGAGTACGTCTAACACATTTGATCGATCGGAAGTTGTTAAAATAAAATGTAGTCACACTCTACTGTGGTCAATGAGAGTGCCAAGTTTAACTGAAAAGCAACGTAAGAAACAAATTTATTTATTGAAGTAATACTTCTTTTGGCGCATTAGGAAAAAATTATAAGAGTACATTTTTACGATGCGCGGGCACACCGTCACAAAAACCCGACACCCTGAAGTTAGCTATAGTCAACATTTTAGTTTTTTCTGTTGTTGTGTCGTTTTTTCTACAAACGTAGAATAAAATTTTTGAAAAGATTTTTATCTTATTACGTCAAAGAAGTATACTTCTAAAGCATGTTTTTTAATAATATAAAAAGCCTATTGAGTTATAAGTTTGGTTACAATTAGAAATTTTTTTTTTTTGTTAGTATTACTTATTTGGGAGTTTGAAGTTACAGGAATTTATTCGACCAAACAGTAAAATATCTTAACAAGGGATGACATGGGGCCTTATAGCCTAGCGGTCTTATTAAGTGGCAGCTAGGTGAGGAGTACCGGGTTCGATTCCCGGTTCGAGGGCAAGTTTTAATTTAATTTAAATTTGTTCTCGGCCTTTGGGAGGGTTGTGCGGTACCGGGCGAGTGCTTAAACCGTATATGGAGGACACGGTCGAATTTCTAAAGACAAAGCACGAATTATATAAAAAAAATTCTATACTTGACGCTGGCTAATGCACAAATCGTGCCAGAGCCATTAATAAAAAATAAAAAAAAGGGACGACATTCTGAAACGATACTTAGCGCTGTCTGTCTTCCGTTGGTAAAATTGGATTTTGACGAAGGGGAGTCATAAATCGCGTTTCGTTTCTAAATCTTATCTTAAGTATGGAACTATAAAAACTACGAACTCGTTTATTTATTTTAATAATGTTGAAAATAACACGACGCATTGCTATTAAAAAAAATAAGGCGTTAATTTTTAACATAGAAATGAAAAAAATATAAATATCAATAAGTTCTTTTTCAGTTCTATCGAAAACATTTATAATTTTTATTTTCAGGTTAAAGCTGTTGACAAATAATACTTAAGCCAAATAATGGAAATGGGTTTCATAGCTATATATAATAAATTCAATCACGCAATCAAATCAATCGACATCTTTATAAGTCTTATCCCTTAAATATAAACTCCTCAACATTAAAAGATTCCAGCGTTATTTAATATTTTTATTTAAGGGTACTTAGCAGAAGACAACGTATTCTGCATACGACTTGCAAATTAGTTACGGGTGCCTTAGGAATCGCTAGCCACTAGGGTTCTTAAAAAATAAAAAATTCCTAGGTTATATGTCAAAAAATTCGATAATATTCAAAAAACGTAGTACAATGTTTTAGTTGAATGATCTTGACGCTTGTTCATTATTCGACCGCGGGCTTGCGTACCACACTTGACAACTGCCTTGCGATTCTGTAACTCACTTTTCGAACTCACACAGCAGCGGTCGCGCTCAAATGAGTCGTAAAGCAGACATTTTACGTCCGCATCTCCCCCGCCCCCCTAAAGGAAACAAAAGACCGTGCGTTCGATTGTGATTGGTTTATAATTTCCGGATTGTGACTTTAATTAAATGAAATTCTTTGATTATGTATGAGGACCAAAAAGTGGTTTTGATGTATTTTCGTGTAGTCAATAAGTCATGCTCTTCAGTAGATACGTAAACGATAAAATTAGGATGACAGTTTAATTGATGACGTAACAAATATGTGTAACCCGACTGGTATAACTTGAGTCGAGAAACATGTGTCAAGTCGCAAGCTAGTTTCGTAACAAATAACAATAATGCTTATGCTGTATTTTTTTGTTCAGCCTTAATTTGTTTGGTAATGTTTGTGTTCGTTAGATGCTCAAGACTAAACGTACTTAAAAAGCACCTACAATATTTTATAAAGTTTATATTTTAGTATGTTGGGATTATTTTATTACTGCCCTGCGATTCTGTAACTCACTTTTCGAACTCACACAGCGGTATTCGCATCGGCGGTATCGCATCGGCTGAAAGTGGGAGCTTGTAGTTTATTGTTTATCAGAATGCCAAATCATAAAATGACTGCTTCATGACTGATTTGAGAGCGACCGCCTGATCTGATAAACAATAAACTACAAGCTCCCACCTTTTCAGAATGCCAAATCATAAAATGACTGCTTCACGACTGATTTGAGAGCGACCGCCGATGCGAAAACCGCTGTGTGAGTTCGAAAAGTGAGTTACAGAATCGCAGGGCTGTAATAATTTAACTAATTCTAGAACATTATACATGGTTGTTCCTTAGTTTTAATTTTAAAATAAATGTATAAATAAGTGAAGTGTTTAATTCCTTTCCCAATGTGGGTCCCACGCCCCACATGGGGGCAATTTGAATGTTAAGGGGGGCTATTCGAAAATTTATTTAAATTATTTGTAATTAGAATTTAGATTTTTTCATTATATGTTTTACTTACTGTATATCGTTAACAATTTCCTAAAAGCTTCCTAAAAAAAGTTATGTATGTTGAATATTGTGTCAAAAGAATTTTAGTTAGGCTAAGGTGGGGCATGGTAAAAACAATTTATTAATAAAAAGGATGCTAATTATTGCTTTTAATAGGCTATTTGACAAACTTTTTAAAAACCATTTAAAATTTATTATTACATTACACAAATGCACATACATTATATTTCTATCGAAAACAGTCTGCCTATATTAAACTCCCAAGTATTAGAACAGGCGAGAGCAGTGTAGGCCTAGTTAGTGGCTTCAACGTGCGAGTCTCATCACTGAGGTCGTAGGTTCGAACCCCGTCTTTGCACCAATGGATTTTTCTATGTGCGCATTTAACATTCGAATGGTAAGGAAAACATTGTGAGGGGCGGCTTGCCTTACCCCTTGGCCACAGTCACCTGCGGCGCGGTTAGCGGCGAGCGGCAAAAACAAATTGAGAAAATTGTATGAAGTATGCCACAGCTATCGGCGACGCGCATTGCGGTGCGACCTACGGCGCGGTGGCACCCGCGCGGTGGCGGCGGCGGGGGTCTGCGCGGCGTGCGAGTGAATCAAATGCACTCAAGAGTATCGAGGCGGCCACAGCTAAGAGCGGCGCGCGCCGCGGCATTGGTGGACGCATTTAGCATCGCGCGACCAAAACAAATAATTTTGTTTTTATCGCGCATTGAGCTCATATAAAATAATGGATACAAAACAATTTATTAGTGAAATACTGAGTAGACCAGCAATATGGATGTCAAAACATCCACATCATAAATATAGGCATGTTATAAAAAAAATTGTGGGACGACTAATAAAACTAACTAATATACTCTAAATATTGGCGCCGCGGTCGCAACTGGTCGAGCTGTGGCATACCACCGCAAACCGCGCCTCTCGCAGACCCTCTTGCCGCGCCGCGCTCCACACCGCCAGAAACTGTGGCCAAGCTCTTAGGCCCAAAAAGTCGACGGCGTGTGTCAGGCATAGGAGGCTGATCAACTACTTACCTATTAGATTAAAAAAATATCCTGAAACAGATACAGGCCCAGACCTAAAAAGGTTGTAGCGCTATTGATTTATTTATTTTATTACGACAGGCGAAGACATTAATTACAAGCATGCTGTGTTATTAGACTAATCTGTGACCGTTTTGCCACGTGACTGACTGATAAATAAGAAAAATATTTTTGAGAATGAATTTTTTGGTAAGATAAGTATAGTCCATAACGGTTTTATAGACATATTTTATACATTCATAATAGTATAATTTCGTCTTCAAACCCACTTATTTGTCTTATTTATTATTCGATCAGCTACTTATCTAAAAACCTATAAAATCATAAAAAAAGGCGCTGGTTATTTCCAAAGAAAACATTGTTGCTACATTAATAATATTCTTATAATTATGAATCAACTAGCTGATTTTTATAATACATAAAACAATATTTACTCTTAAAAATATAAATTAATTTCCATACAATTACTAATTAATCGTGAAGTATACGTAGCGAGGTCGCATTGAACAGTGATGCCAACCGCACGGCAGATCACGAGATTCGCTAGATCTTCCTTATCATCAGCTGATTAATGTAAATACAGCTCTCACGATTTTTATCGTCACGTAGGAGACATTATATAAGTTTCTTTTTGTTTAGTTTATTAGCTTATATTCATAAATTATGGAATTTTTAAAAAACATGGACATTTATTAAGTTTAAAAAAATACCTAATCTAATTAACGAATTAAATTCGCCTTCATAAATTGATTTCGCGTTCATATAATCGATTTTCAGACATATCAAGTGCCAAGGCATATTTTTCACTATTTGCACAAAATAAGGATCAAAAGCCGCCTGATAAACTTTTACATCATATTAAATCTCTCCTTCTGTAGGTATATTTAAAAATAAATAAAATACAGGTTCAAAGGGATGTATAAACCTACATCAGATATATTGCTTTATAAGATGCGGCATTATTCTCTTAAAATAACAGTAGAAAAGTTAAAGGACCACGTTGATAAGTATGTATGTACTTGAAAACCTAGTTGATCATGAACTCATTCGAATATGATCAAATACATCTCACGTCAAGTCACATGGCCTGCGGCACCAACATTACAAAGAGAACACTCAGTTTGCCATTGCGCGTGAGTCGCGCCAAACGTGCACGATCTTCGATTGTTTCAAAAAAAACACGACTGGTACGTACATTTATTTATTTAGATTTAAAATTATTATTTATAAAGTATAGATAGTTATTGCTGGTTAGTTAAGGCGTGCATAACTTGAATGTTTTAAAGAAGTGTTTGTAATAAATTGCTGCCATAAATCTACAATGTTTGAATTCATTATTTGATAAGGTTATTTAGTATTGATGCTTAACAAAAGGGTTAAATTATATTTTATTAATAGAAACAATGAAACGTTTAAAAAATATGATGCTTAATATTTGAAATTTATTCTAGTTATGCAATATAGTTATATTCTATTTGTAGTTGCATTGGTAAAAACAACTTTTTCTAACACTTAGGTACAGGTTATTATGTATCATTTAGCTTAACAAGTGAAATAATCGTTCACATAATTAGGTAATTATTTTAATTTCCATTGCTATTACTTGT